CACCCTGACCCCGCTTCCCAGCAGGGCAGGGCAGAGCGGGGGGAACCAAACAATGTTATAAGGGAACATTGCAAGACTTTACAGAAGTATGTTCTGTAATAGGTCAGCAACCTAGTAGCGAAACGATGTTAACCGGGAGGAGGCTAAATGAGGAGTTACTGTATATTGAATCAGCTAGAAGGCTTGAAGCTGGAGGACCAAATTCTAAACCCCTTACAAATAAACTCCATAGAACCATCTTTAACTCTGAACCAGGCTCCTTAATCTTTCTCCTCTCTCACCACTTTCCTTCCTCCTCTTCAGGGCCTGAAAGCCCTACACATCAGTCAGAAGGAACTTAGTGCTTATTAGCTTAGGGCCATAGCTTAATCCAGCTACATTTTCTAGCCATACAGAATTGTTTTGATTGTCTGTGGAAATTAGCTGTGCCGTATCAGGACTCCTGTAGGTGAGAGCAGCAATTCTATGACTGTCTTATGTAGAGGCTGCAGGCACAGCTGTATGTGGATGATAGCATGTGTGACCACATCTGGAGTATTGCATCCAGTTTTAAGCCCCCCACTACAGAAAGGATGTGGACAAATTGGAGAGAGTCCAATAGAGGGCAACGAAAATTATTAGGGGGCTGATTTATGAGGAGAGGCGGAGGGAACTGGGCTTATTTAGTCTGCAGAAGAGAAGAGTGAGGGGGGATTTGATAGCAGCCTTCAACTACCTGAAGGAGGGTCCCAAAGAGGATGGAGCTCGGCTGTTCTCAGTGGTGGCAGATGACAGAACAAGGAGCAATGGTCTTAAGTTGCAGTGGGGGAGGTCTAGGTTGGATATTAGGAAAAAACTATTTCACTAGGAGGGTGGTGAAGCACTGGAATGGGTTACCATGGGAGGTGGTGGAATCTCCATCCTTAGAGGTTTTTAAGGCCCGGCTCGACAAAGCTCAGGCTGGGATGATTTAGTCAGGGTGGTCTTGCTTTGAGCAGGGGGTTGAACTAGATGACCACCTGAGGTCTCTTCCAACCCTAATCGTCTATGATTCTATGATTCGTGTATGATTCTAAGAAGGCAATAGGATTTTGGGATGAGGGGAAAAAATCATTTCTGATTCTCTTTTATACCAGTCAACTTATGACACTATGGCAGCAAGGTGTCAGGATGTCTCTGACAGCACATAGATGGGGAGGTAAAGCAGACTCTAGAGAAGGAAGATTTCATTTTCTTATTTCTTCTTATTCAGACATGCCAAGAAAAAATCAATAAACAACACACAGCACCCAAACCAATAATAAAGTGTACCATTCAGAACATGTGATCCACAAATATATAATATTCAAACAACTGGGGAAGAAGTCTTTTTTTCTCTTCTTCCTTCTCGTCTTCCTCTTCTTTTAATTTTACGCAGAGTTGCTCTGACAGCCACATTTTTTCTCCTCCTAGGAATGAGAAAAGTCCGTTTTTAGGCGCCCCAGACTCCCCATCCCTTTTTCAGTATCATTAGACTTTTTTTCTAAAATGAGAGAGAGCCAGCCTTTCCCCTTCTCCTTTTTACCATCAGAAAAGACTTAATCCTTCCCATTCTGAAAATTAGCCTACTCTCAGCCACAAGCCCTAAATCGCATTTTCAGCTAAAAGTGTGAACTTATGTTAAGACTCATTCTGTGTTTTCTCCCTCTAAAACTGGAAACGTTCCAACTCTCTAATACTGGGGCAGGGGCTTCTGACTGACCTTTATCTTGCAGCTCCAGTTTTTAGCCCTAGAAAACAGCTGGTGAGGAAATCACTACACTTTCATTAACAAGTTAGAGCAAGAATAACTTATCTTCCACTTGCTGGATACAAAGGCTATCTTTATGCAGGAGGATGACTTCTAAAAATGCAATTTTATCGTTGTATTTTACATTGCTATATTTAAAAAGAAATGAGGGAAATAAAAATAAATAATAGTACTGTCTACATTTGTTGAGAAGAAGAAACTATACACAAGAATCTGCCCTGATATTTGATAGAAGAATGAAGAATGTATAATTTTCTGTAGTGTTAATAACTTTTAACAGCTGGCTATGTGCAAAATATGTGCCAATTTTTTTCAGATTATTTGTAACTACCTAAATGATTAAATGTAAAAAGTGGGGAAGAGAACTGAAATGATGGAACCATGGGGCAGCTACATATTAGTTGTTGAAATGACCATTTACTTATGTATCACCATCCCCATTCCTTTTTGTTGTGTGGATGGGAAAGGTCTGAATTATTTGATATCTCTACACATGTTCATGTGAGTTTGAATTGGGATCTATAGTCAGAAATTGGATATTCCATTTTGGATGATACTTGCAGAATTGGCATCCAAATGACAGAACTATAAAAAGGAGGGTGAGGGGGAAATCACAGCTCTTAAAACAATGCATACCTAATCATCATCATAATACCTGGCTCTGATACAGCAGTGTTCATCTGTAGATCTCAAAGTTCTTTTCAAAGGAAGTAATCATCATTATCCCCATTTGTACAGATGGGAGAACTGAGGCACAGGGACGTCAAGTGTCATCCAACAAAGCTGGGAAATGCTCATGTATTTGAATAAGCTTTGTGTTAAATTCAACCTCTGATTATGGAAGCAGGTATATAATAAGACAAAATATTTCTCTCTATTGTATATACTTAATGTCTTAAGCAGTGCCCATAAATCATGCTATGCCCACCTTAGATTATATCAGTTGGGAAGAAGAATTTAATCAGAAAAAAAAAAGAATGATAATTGGGAGTTGTTTATAGATACTTTACCAGGTGCCCAAAAAGCCACAATCCTAAAATCAAGGGAAAAGGCCATAATGGTTAAAAAAACAACCTGATTTAGAGGGGAAGTAAAGGCAGCTGTTAAAAAATTATATATGAATTAAATGGAAGAAAGGGGAACTTGATCATAATGAATGTAAATCAGAAGCTAGGAACTGTAGAAAATTGAAAAGGGAAACAAAGGGACACACACAAAAATCTGTGGACAGTAAAATTAAGGATAAGAAGGAGTTTTTAAAGTATATGAGAAACAAAAATAGTCCTGATAATGGTATTGGTCTACTACTAGATGGAAATGGTAGAATTATTAATAAAATGCAGAAAAGTCATAAGTGATCAGTAAATATTTCTGTTGTGTATTTGGGGAGAAAACAGATGATGTTTTCATGTCTTATGATATACTTTTTCCTTTTCAACAGTAACTAAGGAGGATGTTAAACAGTAGCTATCACAGTTAGATATTTTTAAATCAGCAAGTCTGGATAACTTGCATCTAAGAATTTTAAAAGAGTTAGCTGAGGCGGTCACTGGACAATCATTGTTGATTTTCAGTAGGTCTTGGAACACTGGGGAAGTTCCAGAAGACTGGAAGAAAGCTAATGTTGTGCCAGTATTAAGAAGGGTAAATGGGATGACGCATGTAATGACAGGCCTGTCAGTTTGACATAGATGCTGGGAAAGATAATGGCGTGGCTGATATTGGACTCAATTAATAAATAATTAAAGGAGGGTAATATAATAAAAGGGTTTATGGAAAACAGATTCCATCAAATTAACTTGATATTTTTTTATGAGATTTGGTTTGGTTGATAAAGGTAATAGTGTTGATGTTATATACTTGGATATTTGTAAGGCATTTCACTTGGTATCACGACACTTTGATTAAAAAAAATAGAATGATATAAAATCAACAAAATGTGACTGTAAACAGGGAATCATCACTGAACAGGTGTGTTTCTCGTGGGGTCCTGTAGAGATCAGTTCTTGGCCCTACACTATTTAACATTTTGTTAATGACCTGGAAGAAAACATAAAATCACTGATAAAGTTTGCAGATGACAAAAAAATTTGGTGGAGTGGAAAAAAGAACAAAAAGGACAGGTCACTGCTACGGAGTGATCTGAATTACTTTTGTAAACTGGGCACAAGCAAACAATATGCATTATAGTATGGCCAAATGGAAATGTATACATCTAGGAACAAAGAATGTAGGCCACACTTACATGATGGGGGACTCTTCTCTGGGGAGCCATGACTCTAAAAAGCATTTGAGGGTTGTAGTGGATAATCAGCTGAACATGAGTTCCAAGTGTGATGCTGTGACCAAAAGGGCTAATGCAATCTTTGGATGTATAAACAGGAGTCTTTTGAGTGGGAGTTGAGAGGTTATTTTATTTTACCTCTGTATTTGGCACTGATATCACTACTGCTAGAGTTCTGTGTCCAGTTCTGGTGTACACAATTAAAGAAGGATGTTGATAAATTAGCGAGGGTTCAGAGTAGAGCCATGAGAATGATTAAAGGATTAGAAAACATGTCTTATAATGATAGACTCAAAAAGATCAATATATCTAGCTTAACAAAGAGAAGGTTAAGGGTGACTTGGTTACAATTTGTAAGTACCTACATGGGGAACAAATATTTGATAATAGGCTCTTCTATCTAGGAGAGAAAGGTATAAGATGATCCAATTGTCTGGAAGTTGAAGCTGGGCAAATTCAGACTGGAAATAAGGTGTCCATTTTTATCAGTAGGATAATTAACCACGGGAACAAATTACCAAGGTTTGTGGTGGATTCTCCATCACTGACAAGTTTTAAATCAAGACTGGGTGTTTTTCTAAAAGATCTGCTCTAGGAATTATTTTGGGGAACTTCTATGGCCTATGTTATGCAGAAGGTCAGACTAGATGATCACAATGGTTCCTTCTGGCCTTGGAATCTATGAATCTATATTGAAATTGAAAATATTTTTTTAATTTTACTTTTAACTTGATACAAATGCTCCTTATGTAAAAAATGGAACAGTGTGATTACTCAAAATCTTCATCTCTGCAATTAACAAGGGAACATGGCGAATTAAAATCAAGGAAGACAATAACATATTTGTTTAAGTTGGATACATTTAGGAGAAGGAATGAAGATTTGGTAGGAGTGAAAGCTTCTCCAACAAAATTATCACACAAAATCTTAACTGTTTTATTTTTTAAGTTTAAAGACCATGAAAATGGCATAGCCAAACTGGAAGGAGAGATTGGCCAGACACAGGACAAATATCCCTGTGCACGGGAGAAGCTGTTGGAAGAGCAGTCTCGGCTCAAAATTCTCCAGCTGAACTTGGCTGCAGCATAAAAACAGATAAAACACCACATTGCTCAGGTAATAGTCACAGGTATAATAAGTGAACTATGATTTTAGTGTTTGGAGTTGTATAGTAGCTGTTTTCAAGGATTTTCCACTGGATAAAGAGATATGGTTTAAATAATATTAACTGTAAAATCCACATGAAATTCAGAATTCACCTTCAACACAAACATCAGAAATATTGCAGAAAATAAACACATTCAATAAAAAGGAATATTTCTTCTTTTTTTAATATGATCATCTGAATTAACGGTATTGGGTTTTTAAAAAAATCTACCTTCTCATTATGATTATACAAAGACTTATTTTCTAAAAAAGAATCACATTATGATGATTTATTTTATCATTCAAGAGTGTGCTTCACAAGCATATAAAAGAGAGGTTCTTGCCCTGAACAGCTTAACATGTAAATAAAAATAAGTGATGTGTACAAAGGGAGAAATTAATAGCAAAGGAGGACAAAAAATGCAATAACCGTACAGGAGTTTGCTTTGGTGGTTTTGCATGTGTCTTGGTGGAGGGTTTGTTCTCTGGATTATAGTTAAGGAGTTTTTGTGCTTTTGTTTGGTGGGGTAGAAATGAGTCAAAGAGGGAAGAAGGCATGAAAAAGTAGGGGAAGGGATGAGTATGCTGGCGAATGAGGGGACAGAAGTGAATAGAAAGAGAAGAAAAGCAGATGTGAGGGAGGAAGGGAATGTTTAAAAGGATAAGAGATGGAATGAGATGCATGGTGGCTTGGGAGGGTGAGGTTTGTCAGAAAATGGAGTTTGGGAATCTGAGATGTGACAGGAGAACACTCACTTCTCTCAAATAAAAAATGTAAATGTAAAGTCCAGAGTTCTGGTGACATCTGGACATTGCTAGGGTGTGCAAAAACCGCACCACCAGCTTGCTGCCCGGGGTGCCATAGCTGGTGGGTGCTACAGAAGCTGGAGCTTTAAGGCTACTGCAGATCTTTTCCTGACAAGTGTGAGGTTCTGGGCTCTGGGATCCCCAGAAGGCTTTTGGCTGATGGAGTGAGGGTGGAGCAGGGACCAATCATTGCAGGCTTTGACTCACTGTCAGTTTTGCTGGGGAGTGGAGATCCAGGGGCTGAGGCTTTAAGATACTCCCTGAAAGTTCTGCTGCTGTTTCCTCATGGCAGGAGTCTGCTGGGACCTTGTGCTGATTTCTCACTCTGCTTCCTGCTATGCTGCTGCCAGAAGGGGACCAATAATGACAGGTATCTGCTGTATTCTGACTAGCACAATGTGTAGATTTCTATGCATGAATGTGTCTTATTTACAGTACTTATTTACAGTACTCCTTCAATCACAGGATGGGACTGCAGATTGATTAGACATACCAAGGATTCTGGGCATATTTATACAGCCTGTGTTGAAGCATGTGCTGGTGCAACTTCACTGCTTAGGGATCCAGGCTAGCTGGATTAAAGCCAGCTCGGGTATTTCTACTCGAACCTCAGTCATGCCCCATGAATGCAATATAGACATACCTTTTTGTTCATTAAACTCAAATTTTATTCTGTTCTCGAGTGAACCTCACTTCTTGGCCAAGTAACCCTAGAAACTCCAGGTGTATGCATTCAAAAAGCATTTGAACGCTCAAATGAAACCTCAGTTATAAATCAAGGAGAAGATATGCTTTTCATTGTAGTCTGCAAGTGGCAAAGGAACATGTATCTTCATTTTTATTTAAGATTCATTATATACTGCTGCTCTAAAAATATAAATGAATACATGCCATCAAAACCTTTGAGTAAATACATTTTAACTTTAATTTCCTAATAAATATGTATGTTTTAATATTCATGATGTATTTTTGGTATAACTTTTGTGGTAATAAAAGTATCAGTAAATGCTTCCTATTATAATATTTGGCCTGTTTAGAAAAGTTTTTTAATGTTCGGGTTATTTTGTGTGTGTGTGTGTGGGAGGGTGGGGGGTTGTGGAATTTATCTAAACATAAATATTCAGTGAAAGCCATACTCCTGGACTATATGCAGTTGCACATGATAGTACTAAAACTATGAATGTACCAAAGCATACCTACATTTATAAATATTGGATCCCCTTTTCTCTGAGACAAATCATGTTTCTTTTGCTGTTGGATGCAACCAGTCCCATTAAGCTTTTAGTCTAACCAACTTTGATCTTTCAGAAGCAACGCATCTTGGAGGTATAGATGGAAAAGTTTGTCATTTCTATGTCATCTTTCCTTCTTGCAAGGAGTTCAATAGAAAGGACTTTACAGTTTGAATATGAGAACTTTTGGCCAATTTGAATCCATTCAAATGGAACTTTTAACTGCCAGACATAAATATTGCTTAGTTACAGAAGATCATAATAATTTATAGATTTTTAAGCCCAAAAGGAACCATTGTGATAACCTAATCTGACCTTCTGCATAACAAAGGCCATAAGATTTCTTTGAATTAATGTTTACTTCAAGTCCAATAGCTGTGGTTAATCTAGTGCATATCTTTTAGAAAAACATCCAATTTTGATTTCAAAATTTGTAGTGATGGAGAATCCATCACAGCCCTTGGTAAGACATCCCAATGGTTAGTTACTCTCACTATTAAAAAGTTGCACCTTATTTCTGGCCTGATTTTGTCTAGCTTCAACTTCCAACCATCTTGTTTATACTGTAGTCTGATACATTGAAGAACCCTCTATTATCAATTTGTGGACCCCATATCAGTACTTCAAATAAACGTCTTAAGTTTCTCTTTGATTATCTAACTAGACTGAGCTCCTTGATACTCTCACCATAAGGCATGTTTTCCAATCCTTTAACCATCCCTGAGATTCTTCTCTGAATCCTCTCCAGTTTTTTAACATCCTTCTAGAAATATAAAATACAGCGTGAAAGTGTACTGAATACAGAGGTAATATAACCTCTCTTCTCTGACTCCATATTCCTGTTTATACATCTAAGGATAGCATTAGACCTTATAGCCACAGTGTAGCACTTGGCGCTCATGTTCAGCTGATTATCAACTATGTCACCTAAATCCTTTTCAGAGTCACTGCTCTGAGGCTAGAGTCCCCCATCCTGTAAATACTTCACAAATGAGGCAGACCCCAGATCCCCAGGGACAGATGCCTTACTGCACAGTTGGTTGCAGGACCTACTTTATGCTTTTCCACCCTTACCATTACTGCGGAATTTGATCCAGAAAATAAGATGAGAACAAATGACAGTAATAGTGATAACTCCTCATTGGCCAAGGAGACCTTAGTTCTCAGACCTTATAGAGATGACATGGGAGCCCCCACTTCAGCTTCTGTGAACACCAGACATCATCTCACAAGGTCCTTTTCTTCATCTGGACCCAAAATGGCTTCAACTCATAGCCTGACTATTGAGAGGGAAGTGCTGGAAGGTCTCTCTCTGTCCTCAAGAGTCATCCAGACATAGTTTTGGTCTAGGAAGATATTGATACTGAAAGCATACTCCTCTCTCTCTCTCTCTCTCTCTCTCTGTGATCCAGATTCAACAAATGGTGCCAAGGGCAAAATGCAAATACCAGAGATCCTGGAATTCCATCCACTTTGGATTTTCTCCAAGAACGCATAGACAGAGGTTCCTTTTTGCAGGATCCTCAGACTCCCTGGGAGACAATCCACAACTAGCCTGATTCCTTTGAGCAGTTTGAGTGGAGGGGGGAGGGATAGCTCAGTGGTTTGAGCATGGGCCTGCTAACCCCAGGGTTGTGAGTTCAATTCTTGAGGGAGCCGCTTAGGGATCTGTGGCAAAATCAGTACTTGGTCCTGCTAGTGAAGGCAGGGAGCTGTACTCAATGACTTTTTGGGGTCCCTTCCTGCTCTATGAGATAGGTATATCACTTCAAAAATGGGACCTTCTGCTAGTTTTGATGGCCCTGATAAGCCATCCCTTCAGTGTTGGCTTTTTATTTATCCATTAAGAGTGTTTCTTGGTAGCTGTCAGGTCTGCCAGGTGAGTGTCGGAGCTGGCAGCCCTATGTATATGAGAGCCTTACTGTGTGTGCCATGAAGACAAGTGGTGCTCAGGACACCGGAATCCTTTCTTCTTAAGGTAAGTTGCTCCTTCCACACTTCCCAAGAGGTTGTGCTTTCTTCACTCTGTCCAAAACTACAACATCCAACTGAAAAGGGGCGGCATGCCTTAGATGTCAGAATAGCATTGAAAATCTATTTTGAAGTGTACAGACTCCACAAGAAGATTGGGCTCCCTATTTGTGTCCTTCCACCCAAAGAGACAGGGACTCAGAGCTTCCAAGTCCTCCATCACTACATGGATTAGACAATGTATCATGGGAGCCTACAAATCATCAGGAGTTCCTGTCCCGGAAGAGATCAAGGCACACTCCATGAGGTCCTTAGCCACCTCAGGGGTGGAACAAGGAAGTGTGTCTACTTGAGAAGTTTGCAAAGCGGCCACTTGGTCTACAGCTAACACCTTCATTAAACCCTACAAGGTGGACCTTCTACCTTCAGTAGAGGTCTCCTTTGTCAGCAAGGTACTGCAGGTGGTATCCCAGAAATAATATAGTTCTTTGAGCGAGCTCATAAAAAGGGGGGTATTTATTTACCAAACTCTTGTTTTTGTAACCTTCCCTTTATTTGTTCACTGCTCACTACTTCCCAGATGTCCAGATTTGTGGGAGATGCTGGGCTAAGGAATAAGAACATTTCTTAATGATGATTTCCTTTCTTCTAGCGACGTCCCCCACAATTCTACCCACTCTAGATGGCTAATGAACACCAGAAATTAAGTGGAATCATTACCATTGGATCGGGTTTCCTGGGTCTAATGTACATAGTTATTTTATTGTCTCCGGAATATTTTGGTAATAGTGGTATGCAAGTTTTACAGCTGGGAATAACTCATTTGGCAGCAAGCTGGAGCAGAGAGGGTGTGGCCAGAGCGTGCAGTGCCAAAATGCTGATCTGTCTCCATGAAGCTGCAGAGAGGAGAGCAGCCCAGACTGTGGGAGATACTGCTAGCAGAAAGGAAATTATCAATAAGGAATTCTCTGTTTACACTATTTAGAATCTACATCTTCAAATATTTTATATGTCTACATTTCCCTTAAGAACTTTAGCATCTTAGCATTCCTCTAGAACTTTTTTCTTCCAGAATAGGTGAGGGGAATCTGTGGAAAGATACATGCAATTTCCTTATGTGTAAACGAAAGTTTCTAAAAGTACTGTTGCATAGTTACATGTTCATACCTCCACTATTTCTCCTGTCATATTGAGTACCCTTTTTGCTTATCCTCTAGTTTAGAACTTAAGTCCATGTTAACTGGAACATGGAGAATCTGATGCATTTTGTAAATTCATGCATCTTGGTTTTTGACTAGTGGTTCAAATGGAGTTTCCAGAAAAATCTAGAAGTTAAGAGAACACTCCTTATTTATACAACAGTAATCACAAAACCCAAGCATGCTGATTTATAAAGAATACTACCATGCAAAATTTGTACTTAGATATTTAATTTGCCTAGTTGTGAGAGATGATGCAAGGATGTTAGAAGCCCCTTTGACAAAATTGTGATTAGGCCCCCACAAAACTCAGGTGTGCACCATTCTGACCTTCTTCCCTTGTTCTAGGCCTGGAGATCTGGCCAGCATATGGGTGTAACTTACACATATCTTTGCAAACACCTCAGATCAAAGGTGAGATCTAGTGACCATACAGCCGAGGAAGTGGTTTCAGAAACCATCTGTATGAATTGTCTAATTGCTATACATAATTTTCATATTCCTAGAAACTTCTTGGATAAAAATAGATGGTGGTCAGTCTTTTCTTTGGAAAAAAGTCTCCTACTTATAAAAACATAATGTAAATTGTTCTGCTGCTTCATTTTCTGACTTTGAAAAAATTCTCCAATACAATTTAGAACAACTGTGACAAAAATCTTCATAATTTTTGTGCTGGCTCTTGTTTTTGGGGGGAAAGAGAAAGTATTTTATACCTTTTGACACATAAGAGAACACTGGAGCTGCATTGAGTCTGTACTGTTTGGTGATGAAGAGAGACATTGAAGCTAGCTTAGTTTACTCTAAACCTAACACGTTAACGGAAAAGTCTGGAAAAATCTTGAAATATGGATAGCAAAATATTTGTATGCGCAACATTAAAGTACCTGAGCTATAAATGAAAACCCAACCTTTTATTCATCAATGTTCACATTTACTGCCAAAGGCAAGTTAGAATTTCTCAAAT